GGGGCGTGAGATCTGACTGGAGGCTGTTCTTTTGTCCGTGGTTTAGTTGAGGTGGCTTGGGGAAGAGATGATGACTGGTAGTAGTGATGGGCGGGGCTGGGAGCGGGCATTCCACCCCTTCCTGGCATGGCCACACTGGGAGCTATGTGACTGCTATGGAAGAGGAGGCAGATGTATGAGTGCTGGGGAGCCAACCACAATATCCACTACCCTTTCAACTAGAGAAACAGTCACTGAGGTGCAGAAAAGATTTGAGGGATTTCAGAAATGAACAGGCAGAATTTGGTGAGAAAGGAAGGGAAGGTGAGAACTGGAGGGGCAAAGATGGCTCTGAGGCTTCTAGTGTCGTCACCTGGGTGAATGGAATAAGAACTCTGTGGAATCTTAAAAGAGAGAGAGAGAGAACACTAATGAACTCATCTTCAAAAGAAAGAGACTCACAGACATAGTAAACAATCTAATGGTTACTAGGGAAAGAGGGTGAGAATGGATAAAACTGGGAGTTTGAGATTTGCAAATGTTAACTACTATATATAAAAATAGGTAAAAAACAAATATCTTCTGTATAGCAAAGAAACTATATACAGTATCTTGTAATAACCTTTAATGAAAAAGAATATGAAAGCGAATATATGTGTATGTATATGCATGGCTGGGACATTATGCTGTACACCAGAAATTGACACATTGTAACTGACTATACTTCAATTAAAAAAAAAAAGTCATTTTCCCGTCTGCAATTTGCTTCAAAATAATCTGAGGATGGTGGGTAGGCTATAGGTGAAACAAAATTGACTATAAGTAGATAACTGAAGTGGGTGAAAAAGTAAAAATTAGCTCCCACTAAAGGAAAAAAAAAATCTGCCCTGCCACTCCTCAGGCTGGGAGGACAAACGTAGGTAAGGCCAGCTACATTACCATGAAACAATATTCCTCCCAAAGGCACGTTGCAGCTGAAGTGTCACAACCACCCCCTTCTTGCGTGACTACTGCTTTCCGACCCCCTGGGAAACCTTGTTCTCTAAAATGATAGACCATCAGAAACTTTGCCATTTGAAATTTTATCAGTAAAAATGAAACACCCCTCTGGTGCCAGTAGGATCTAAGTCACGTTGACACAGAGAAGCAGTCTTGATTTGCAACCCAGGTTCAGAGCTTCAGATAAGGGGCTTCTGAACACAGCGTCCCCAGTTTATCCTGACTTTGCCCTTTCTAAGGAAATGAACCTGGGTCTACTGTGCAGCTCAGACCAGATGTTGCCTCTTGCTTTCCTTTGAGCCTATCAAAACACTGCTCCTTAAATTTCTATCCTTCCTAAATTCAATTCCTGTAACTCTCTGCCTATTTGGCGAGACACCCCATAGTTCCTCTGTTATCTGGTCTCCTTCACTGTAATGAGTTAACCTGATTTTGTCAAAATACGGGTTTCTCCCTGGTGATCCTAGGCTGATTATGACATGAGCAACAGGGTTATGGGCGTTCTTTATATTATTCTCTCCACTATTGCAATGATTCACATTTTCCATAACATTTCCAAGTTTTTAAAAAGCCATCACCCCGTATTTTAGTAATGCACACCAGGACAGTGTTTGAGATCTGTGCAAGGTAGGATGATTACACCCCTGAAACATCCACATCCTAACCCCTGGCACCTGTGAACATCATCTTACTAGCAAAAGGGACTTCGCAGGTGGAGCTAAGGCTCAAGACCTTGAGATGGGAGAGTATTCTGGATTATCCAGATGAGCCCAATGCCATCAAGTGGGCCCTTAACAGCAAAGAGGCTTTCCTGGCTGTAGTCAGAGAGAGACGTGATGTTGGAAGAAGGGTCAGAGATGCAACGTTGCTGGCTTTGAAGGAGGAAGGGGCCACAAGCCAAAGATTGTGGGCAGCCTCTGGAAGACAAGAAAGGCCAGGAAACAAATTCTCCTCTAGAACCTCCAGAAGGGAGCGCAGCCCTGTTGATAAGTTTGATTTTAACCCAATGAGGCCCAAGTCAGAGTTCTACCCTACAGAACTATGAGATAATAGGTCTGTGCTGCTTTAAGCCACATTCATGGTAATTTGATATAGCAGCAATAGAAAATGAATGCAAAATCACCCAGAGGAGTGAGGAAAGGCAGAAATGAGCCAAGGATGCCTGGGGCGACGCCAACACTTCAGACAAGAGGGGAAAAAATGGTGAGTCAGTGGAGGAGACAGTAAGGGAGACACCAAACAGTAGAAAAGCCTGGAGAGAACAGCAAAGAAGCTCCAAGGAGAAAGTAGTCCAGAGATTTAAACTGCCTGTTCTTTAAAGTAAGGACTGAAGGAGGTTACACAGTCTCTCCATTTTAAAGCACGTTACTTTCTTGTTTGTTTCCCCTGTGAGTTCCCCATTTGCACATAGCAACCTCCTTCACCTGAAAGGATCACTGTCTCCCTTCACGTTAAAAGCCTGAGTTTGAGAACTTTCACAACCTCAGTCCACGTTATAAGCCCATCAAGGTAATTACTCTGGTTCCAGAAGAGCAGGTTTTACCACATCATAAACCAGAAGGAAATGTAGCTATTTTTGTGTTAATTCTAGTTATTTGACTGTGCAGGACAGCCTACCCCAAGGGCGAGAGCAGCCCACCCAGGCTGGCCTGCCAGGTGGACCCAATCCCCATATTTAAACATTCTGCCCAGATCTACCCCCAACCCTCATACTTAAAAGTCCCAAAATGACTCCTCATTAAACTATCTTCTCTCTACAGACCTTCTCAGCTAATTTGGAAAATGGCAAATTATTTCACCCCAGTGAGACAGTTGATAGCTTGAGTATCTTAGAGAACACTTACATTCTAAAAGGCAAGTTTTACAAATGAAAAGAAGCCCTCGAAGTGTAGATTTTCAGGCCTTAAGACTAAGTGAGGAACGTGGAGAGGAGGGTATTCTTAAATGATAAACTCATTACTCTCCTCCAGTTTTGACAATCTGGGCCTAATGCCTCATTCTCACATGAAGGCCTTGCCACATGACTGTTTTCTCTGCCTGAATACCCCATTCATTCTTCAGAATGGTTATTTTCGTGGGGGGCTGTCCCAGATTACTTTGGCCCCTTCGGTTACAGGCCCCCACAGTATACCCATACATCCTCTGAAATGCTCATCTCACCGGCAATACTTGTTCAGTGTCTGTCACCTTCTCCATTGGATGACAAGTTCTGTGAGGTGAGGACGAGGTCTGCCTTCTGCTGTGTTCACTGTTACCTCCTTGGTCTCCAGCATATGGCAGATACTCAAATATTTGTTGATAATCAAATAAATCAATGAAGGGGGCCAAGTGCTCTTACTCTGGGTTTACAGGTGATTTCTACATTAGCGGTTCCTGGAAATGGTGACTTCAAGTTCCTTAAATGGGACTTAGATGGCAATTAAACATTGGGGCCCCTCAAAGCTAAAGGCCAAAACCACAGAGTTTCTAGAACCCACCTAGCAGCCCACGTTCACCCCGGGTCTTGTCCAAAGCCTGAAGCAGCAAATAAACACAAGAACAAGTGGGGCAGATTTTCAACACGGGCGCCGAGACAGCTCAGTGGGAGGAAAGGCTCCTCTTTTCCACAAATGGTGTTGGAACAACTGAATCTGCACATGTAGAATGACACTGGATTCCTTCCTGACGCTGCACACAAAAATTAACTCAAGACGGATCACAGACTGAATTCAAGAGTCCAAACTATACAACTCTTGAAAGAAAACATAGCAGTAAATGTTTGTAACTTTGGGTTATTCAAAACTTTCTTACCAGTGATGCCAAAAGGCTAAGTGACAAGTAAAGCTGACTTTATCAAAATTAAAACCTTTTGTGCTTCAAAGGACACTATCAAAATGAAAATACAACCCACAGAACGAGAGAAAATATGTGTAAATCATGTATCCAGTAAGGACTTGTATCCAGAATATATAAAGTACTCTAACAGCTCAACAGTAAATGCACAGGGTGGGGTGCAGCTAGGTGGGGACTGTGGGGCTGGGGGCTGGAGAGTGATGGCTAATCAGTATGACACTCCTTCTTGGGGTGATGAAGACATCCTGGAATCAACTGTGCTGATGGTTACACAACCCTATGACTATAATAAAAACTCCTGAACTGCACGCTTCAAATGGGTGAATTGTATGGTATGTGAATTATATCTCAGTAAAGCTGTTAAAATTTTTAAAAGTAGGATAAAGAAATGCCATGCTATTTCAAAACATCACACGTTTGTTAGAAACCAATCGCACATGCGTTTTCCCAAGCAGAAAGGAAAACACAAGTTTCTGTCTTCTGGGACACACGGGGTCCCGAGCGCATTCATTCTCCCGCGGGCCTGCGCAACTGTCAAGGGCTCACTCAGTGCAGGAATTCCCATCCCGGTGAATCATGGGCCCGCAGGCTTCTGGCATGGAAGCACCTGAATTCTATACAGCCGTGAATTTTTCTAACAATAAACTGTCCTTGAAATACCACACAAAATATTATTTTCTTTCTGTCCAGCAGAGACAGATTCGCTCCGTGATCAGAAACTAACTCATGGGGTGAGGTGTTTGGGGCAGGCCAGAGGGCCAGGTGACCAAACCCCGAGTGTCAGATGCCGGACTTCTGAGCTCCTGATTTGTTCTCTCCCTGCCTCCCTTTCTCTTGTCCAGGTTCTTCAGCCCCAGGACGAAGGTCCAAATCCCCACCCCAACCCCCATTCCAAGAGCGCTGGGTGGGAAGAGATAAAGGCACCTCCTGGCTCTGGGGCTCCCATCTGAGTGTCGTCCTCCCCCGACTCCTGAGCCACTTTACTTCCCTTTTTCACGTCCAAGGTGGAGCTTGGTTGGGGGTCCTGGAAGCAATTCCTGCCCTGCCATGTCAGAGGGAACCAGTGAACACACAGGGAAGGATTCCAAAAGAAAAAAAGCAGAGACTTTTCTCAAGTGAAAATGGCCAGCCTAGAGGGGAGTTCACAGCAAGCACCAATAGACACTCGCTGAAATGAATGAACAAGTGGATTAGCAAGATAACCAACACTCAGACTGTAAGAAGTCCTTGAAATACAAAAGAAGATGGGGCTGGGTCTAAGGATGACAGAAACACAGCTGCACTAGGCGCTGCCGCTGACAACCGCTGAGGGCGCTCTGGGGGTAAACGGACATGGGAGTGCGGGTGGGAAGGTGGGTGACTCTGTATCCGTCTGGCTTCAGAAAGTCAGAGAGCCCAGGTCACAACTAGAACATCATGGTATTGGTTCCAGATTCTCTACAAAGGTGTCTACCTGTGGGAAAGAGAAAACCCATGAGTTAAACCTCACATTTCCAGGAGATTATACCCGTAATGCGCGCGTTGCCAAGCCCGTGAGTTTTTGTGGGGAAGGGAAAGTGGGTATGGACAGGAAATGTCACCCGCCCAGGGCCACACAGTATCAAGGCGCAGAGCTGGAGAAGCCAGCGGTCTCACTTCCCTAGTTCCAGAACGCCTTCGAGGAGGAGTTAGCAGGAAAGTGCACCGTACAAGTCAAGTGTTTAACAATTACTAGCCCCTAACACGCCACAGAATAGGGGTTCCATCAGTCATGTATACGAGGTCCCACAGGCTTCGGAGTGTGGGGTGACTTTGAGGTGCAGAGCACCAGACCCATACTGGAGTCTGAAGCGGTAAAAGTGCAATAAAGGAAAACCACCAGAAAGCAGGCATCTTTCCCACCCTCTTCATGAGCTCTTCTTGTTTGGTTACTTCTTCAGAAAAATCATCATTGACGTCCAACACCAGCACTGGAATGTTGAGCAGGGCCTCAGAGTGGAGCCTGGAAGAAGTGGGAACATTCAGGGAACAGGAAAAAAGACGGCAAGTTTCACATACTCACCAAGTCTTACTAACTCAGAGGAGAGATCTAAGGTCACACGGCTTCCCAATGAAATTTCATGTAAACAGCAGTTTAGAAAAAGAATTCAATAAAGTTGGATGGAAAGATGAGGCTGAGATTTCGCTTTAGTCTTGAGACTTCTACTGAAGGTCAGAGCCCCAGACATTTTAAGCGGACAGCACACCAAGGCTAGGGGGAGAAGGGGCCGAAACTAGGAATGTCAACTTAGTAAACTGACAATGTCTAAAATTTTTCAGCCCTTCACCCTGAGCCAACGAGGTCATCATCACTGGTCACCATGTTCCATCCAAAAGGACGTCAAAAAATGAAAAAGCTGGAGAAACAGAATCTAACAAAAGGTTTCTTGGAATATCTAGATTACATCTAATTTTAAATTTCTAATTCGGATAATGCTTGACAATTTCAATGCATTCTGAACATGCTTGTGGGGCTGCTATGTTGAACTTCCTGTATTGTAAAGACTGGCGGCAGGGAAGCAAGGGGCCAGAGGGACAGGGGCGCAGGACTGCAGGGAGGCAGGGAGGCAGGCCTCTGTCCGCTGCCGCTCTCTTTGCCACTTACGGGGTTGTCTTGTGGACAAGCCAGGCTTCGTGTTGACCATGAAGCTGCTCGAGATAGGCCAGCTCAATTCCCTTCTCCTCCTCCCTGGCCCTCCGGCGCAGTCTCTTCAAGCAAACCTGGAAGACAATCCCCAGGCTCTGCTGAGCTCACTGCTGATCTCGGCTGTGACAGTGCAGTCTGGGGCTCTCAGACGCACTCGCCATGTCTATCCTGGGCTCTCTCGGCTATGACTTGTTTCTGCAGCCTTGTGTCCTTATTCAATCACAGGTTAGTAGCAAACATCATCCAGCCGGGGAACCTGGAGTTACCCTTCTTTTCCCTCCTCCCAACCACATCCAGGAAGTCACCGGGCTCTCTTTACTCTCTCCAGTTGGTTCTCTCCATGCCTCTCTCTCACCTCTGCCCCGGTCAGACCCTCGTCACGTCACCGGGGCAGGGGCAGAGCCTTCAGGCTCTCTGCCTCCTGCAGTGTACGGAAAGAGCAGCGGCCTTAAGGTCAGAAAGTCCAGGGTGAAATCCCCGTCTTCACCAGGAGCCTCCTCCTCAGCCTCCACTCAAACCCAAGGAGGCTGTGAGGACTCACAGGGGGAGGCATGTCAGGTTCCCAGCAAAAGCTGTTCTTTGTTCCCAGTTTTTCCACTCAGTCTGCCCTCCATATACTGCAATATACAGTCGTCCCTCAGGATCTGTGAAGGGGAGGGCTCCAGGACCCCCTGCAGATACCTAACTCCAAGGCTGCTCAAGTGGCTTATAGGTGTAAAATGGTCGCCAGCTCTCCCCGTCAGTGGGGTCTGCACCTGCGAGCACGGAGGGCTGACTGTCATGGTCTTACTCTCCTCGCTTAGAACACTTTCCAGGGTCCTTACTGCCCACAGTTCAAGAAGTCTGAGTAACTTCACACTGACGGTAGAGTAAGTAATCTGAAACATCTCTTTCACATCACATCATATCACTCACTCTGGGGCAGAATGCAAAACCTACGTAGGTCAAAAGTAAAGGAAGTTAAAAAAAACAACAGAGGTTTCAGACTAACTCTCCATCCCCCACTGCTTCCAGAGTGTGCATAATTCCACTCTGCCTTCATCTGATGGGAGAGTTTGAAGCACAGTGTCACCTTCTCCTTCACTGGTCACACAGGACATTCTCGGAGTCTGGCCACCTCTCCTAAATCCCTACTCTCAACTTCCTCAGCTCCTCCCCTGGACTCACTGCTTCAGCCAGATCTGACCTTCTGCCTACAGTGCAGACCAAGCTCTTTCGAATCTCAAAATTTTTGTTCTATGCATGTGTTTTGCCAGAATTGCCCGCCTTCCTCCCTTCTGCCCGGGAAACGCCCCGTTATTCAACGTGATCCGTCCTGGGAAGAACAGGTAGCCGCGCCCACTGATTTCAGACTTCTCTCTTTCAAACACTTAAACCTCATCTCCACGTGTACAATATTCACAAAGGTACAGACTGCTGTTTCCCTCTCATCTCATCTTTCCTCAAAGGGAAGAAAGTCATGTAAACACATTTCATTTACGATCTGATGTCCAACTTTTCAAACTGGTCAACACAGATCTAACAGGTTAGTACTTCCAGCATGCCCTTTACACCTCTTTCCCCTGAATCAAGAATTGTTGTAAAACGTAGATATGTCCTTGCCCTAGGGACTCTGTAATTCAGTCAGGTAACAAGTAAAACGAAATACGCAAACCAGCAGATCAAGCGCTAAGCTGCGAGGCTTAGATTAAGCGCAGCGGGCCAGATAAGGGAGGCAGCAGTTGGGCTCCGGCAGTCAGAGAGGCGCGTCCTGGAGGAGGCGGGGGCTCCCCCTTCATCTCTGGTCTCCGCTTACTTAGCACCGCTCTGAGAGCCGGGGCGCTGTGCGAGCCCCGGACAAACGCAGACCGCCAGTGGCACTTCAGCTGAGTCGGAGGATGGCGGGAGGTCTACTCGGGGTGCTCTGAGGGCGTAGTGCCAGAGGCGGGCCACAGTCCGTCCTGCTCAGGGCTTAGTGTGGGGCCTGGCAGAGGACGCGGTGGATAAGTATTTGTCGCACGTGTTCACTGAACGCTTTCACTTCTGAGCCAGTCTATCTGCATTTACCCGGTGCTCCTACGTCCACCGTTTACGTTTTACATTCCTTCACGCGGAACCGCCTCTCTTTCCTCCTGTCTTCCTGCCGGACACCCTCATCCTCGCTGCTGACTGCAGCCAGACATCGCTTCTCGTTTCCTTCCCTCCCCCATCACACAGCTCTACTCCACTGGCTTCCGGCTCCTCAGTCCTCCACCCACGATGACCGACAGTAGTGACTTGCTGTGCACTTTCAGAAACGTTTTATGCATGTGCACTTTCTTACCCCAGCCTCGCTTTCTAAAACACACACCTAAAAGGGGTCCTATCGCTCCGTTGTTTTGTTGTTATGGATCACTATAGTACTTTCTAATCCTTTCTCATGACTTCAGGCTTTAACAGGGCATAGATGGAGCATCATATATTCAGCCGGTCCCTACTGATGACCTCGTGGGTTGTTTGCAATAACTTGCTATTACAACCAACGCTGCCTTGCACATGAGCCACAGTGCCGCGTGGGAGCGTATTTACGGAGTAAATTCCAAGGAGCATGATTAATAAATAGGGCAAAGGTCTGTACACTTGCTAGTACAGACTGCCACACCGCCTGCCTCCTTAGAGGCTAACCAAGTCACATCCCCGCCTGCAAGGCAGCTTCAGGATTTCTAAACACAGCAAAGCTATCTAATTTTCCTCTCTGAGAAAAACATCATTGGCATTAATGAAAATGTGTATTTTTAAAAATGTGACTTTATGTTTTCAAGTAGACACAAGGGCAGAGCTATTCTTTTTATAAAAGCTATAATTATTCATTCATTGCTGGCAGGCAAACATTGATGCTAAAGTCTCTCCTGTTAAAATAGGTAACATTTCCCTTTGCACTATTAATTGGCTTAACAGAGCAAACTTTTCTTCTTCCCCAGAAGTCTAGGCAAATTTCTATTTTGAGCATTTGGCATGATTCTTGCTTTATTGATATGGTTACAAGAAGTTCTATTTTTCACAAAATCCTGTACAAACAGTGCTTTATTCTGGTCCCGCTTTACCTCAGTCCTCAGGGGAAGACACACCTGAATGTGACTAGGAAAGACAGAGCATCTGGCCACGGCAGGGGAGGGGCCCTTCTGTCAACCCGCCCCTTCACTTACTGGCCCCACCCCCTTGAAGAGCTGCCGTGCGGACTGCGTGGAGTCAGAGACAGCAACTGGACAGTGACTGCTGGTGGCTCTGGCCCCTGTGCCTCCCGAGCCCCACACCCAGGTGCCACTTGTCCCCAGGCCCTTCCCGCATGCTGTCTCCATGTCGCAAACACGGCCTGGCTCTTGGCGGCACATTGGCCAGCTACACTCTCTTGTCCTGATTCCACGGGGCACGGAGGCCCAGCCACTTCTTTTCTGATTTTTCAATTGTTGGTTCGCTTGTTTTTTACAGTTTAGGGAAGAGCAGGTGGGAAGGAGCAAAAGGCCCACCTCAGGCCCACCTCCTGCGCACCAAACCCAGCATCTCCTAGGGCTCTGCGCCGGTGGCGGAGCACCTGCACGGCTTCCCACGGGGAGATGTTGCCACTTCTGCTCTGCCCTCTTGGATCTCACAGAAGACATCGGCGGTAACTTCAAGGGATGGGCATCGGCATCCCTGGGCTCCTGGCTCTAACGGCATCAAAACAGCACCCAAATCTCCATGCAGTCACCAGATGAATACATTTTTTTCTACCATTAAATTACAATACTCCCTCAACCCTTATTCTTCCCCAGCTGGAAGACCTCAATTAGTCTCTCCAAACAGGTGGATCAGTCAGACCATAATAGTAATCACTACCACCACTGTCATCACCACTGTCCCTTCTCACAAAGCCATTCTGAGTACACACAGAGGTCAGGAAGACTTTCTTGCTTTCCTTACGGGTCCCAGCGTCCCAGCAGGTTAGGTCAGGTTAGGAACCAGGAAGAGGCTCAGCCAGTCCTCTTGATTCTTCTCCTAAGGCTTACCCCTTCAACCTACCGTTGTTTTCAACTATTTTACTGGAAACCTGTCACCTCTTCAATATCCAGCCACAGTCTTCACCCAGTTCAAGTCCATGGGGCTCTTACTCATCCCTGGTCCAGGCCATGAGCCCTCCTGGAGCCCAGGACTTTCCTCTCACCCTGAACCCTACACTCAGCTACTTCAAACCATCGTCTCTGGCAGGGCTCTCCTTTTCCCCCTAATCACTGACACCAATCCCCACCTCTACAGTTCAGTCACCTCCAAAACTGGCCTTGTCTATTCCTGCTCCCAGGCAACGAAGCTACTCCAAGAGTCATAAATAAGAGACCCAGCCAGACTCAACTTAGTTCTTCTCACAGAAGGTTCTCAGCCCTCTGGCTTCATCGAATGTCTACTGGAGTTTCACTGTAAACCTCAGACCCTGCTTATGTCTGTGGAAGCTCTTTATTTCCTTCCATGATCTAGCTTCTGCCCCACAATCTTCATAAACTCCTGACACAAAGAGCCCCAATATCTGGCCCCAGGCACACTCAGGGCCCCTTGCCGGGCTGCCACCTTCCTGAGGTCAGGCCTTCTGTGAGGTCATCTCCTCTCTGGCTCCTGTGAGCTGGTGCCATGGGGACTCTGCCAGTATTTTCTGACCCTGCTCAATCTGCTCACAGGCATCCTCCTGTCCATAGGGCTCAGTCCTGTCTCCAAAAACCAATGGTCTCTCTAGCCTGAACAGAGTTTTCCCTCCTAAGATTATGTGGTGTAGCTGGCATTTGACTGTACATCAGATGTATGTCTCACAAGCTGAGAGCAACACAATCCTCAAAAAAATGCCCCCACCTTGACTCAGAGTCCCACTCCAGAAGAGCCCTTAGAGATCACTAGTCTGAGACACTTGACTCGACAGACAAGCGCCCCTCCAGGGGAAGGGCTCCCAGCAGCTGCCCACGGTCACTGCCTGCTAGCAGAGCCAAGCACCACTGCCACCTCCAGTCCTCAGTGCTCTGCCATAACCTCACCCTGCAGTGTGCTGGGCCGGCTCCACGGGCCAAGCCAGAGGGCCATGGGATGCAACTTCCGTGGTGCATCTCGCTTTAGCAGTGGCATCCTCAAAGGTCAGAGGGAGACTCTATGTTAGGGCAGTAACAGGATGAGGTGTGGATACCCTCCTTTTCTTCCTCCTGACATGCTACTCAGGAAACCATCAAGACCACCACCGACTCTGATGACTCGTTAGAGGGAAGGAAACGCTGAGGCAACTGGCTACAGGTTAGCTGGTCAGAGGGTCCAACCTGCAAACTGGGTGATAAAGATAATGCCCAGCTTCCTCTGTGTGGTTCCTACTTCAAGAGGGACACTTTCTATGCACGGTCAATTGCTTTAGCCCTCTGCTGCAGAAAGCCAGTGGGAAAAGGGTGCCTACGCTAGAATGGGGGGGGGGTGTGATCACCCACTGCACACCGTGCTCCAGGGCACAGCCACGATCGAATTTTTCCAACTGGAAAATCAGGGGCTTGGAGAACATCACCTCTGAAGTATCATATGGCCCTGAAGTCCAAGGCTTTCGATTCTGTGTTACCTGGGGAGTAGCCTGGAGGTAGATGAAGCCATGCAATCCGAGCCGACTGGCAAACTCCTGCAGGAGAAAAGAATGCCAGTCCTGATAGATATGCCATTCCATGTCACTGAGGGAACCGTTCTCAAAAAGATTCTTTGCAAAGATATACCTGGTTGGAAATGTAAGTGGGATGGGGGAAGGCAGGAAGAATGGAAAATGGAATGAAAGACAAAAGAGAGAAGAAAAAAATCAATAACCGACTTGTTCATGTCTGTCCAAACCACTTAACCTTTCTAGCTCATCAATTTTTCCCCCCTTTTCTTTTTTAATTGACATATAGTTGGCTCTTAACCTTTCTAGCTCCTCACCAAACTTGAAGAAATCTGAATTCTTCACCTATGTCTTTCCCTCCTTGCTCAACACTAAGATGAGAACAGCATTCAGACTACTAGGGGCCAAAATCACAGCTCTCCGGATGGATGAATCCACTGGAAGAAAAGGGGCGCTGAAGGAGAACGTCACTGGTCGCTAACAATTTCCCCTGCTGGATATCAGTCAAAACAGACATTAAGTGGTGCACGTCAACTCGAACTTCTGAGATTTCCTTATTATTATAGTAAGTAAGCCCCCGAACAAAAAAAACCAATCTAGTATAAATCATCTACCACTTCTAATTTAAGGACTTAAGGCTTCCATGCTTCCGGGCTGCTGAGCCATCCTCCTGTCTCACTGAGAAGTGGGGAAGGAACTATGTATAAGCGGTGTCAGCCACGGAGCAAGAAGCGCGTCTTCTCCTGACTGCAGCATTACTGAGGAAGCAGACCCTCCTCCAAAGCAAGCTCGGCTGGGCTCGTGCTTCCTCTCCTGCTGAGCTTCTAATCCAGACACAAGAGAGCTAACTCTAAAAAGCAAAGTGGCTTCCCGCCTTGCTTACTTCCACAACTGAAGGAGCATGTGGTAAACAGGACAGCAGCGCCAGCTAGAACCCACTGCTTCAGGAGGGTCACCTCTGCTTTCAAACCTCAGGCATCTTGATACAAAACGCAATTTACATCTTTTGAACAATGAATTCTGGTTTCTAAGGCAACGCTCAGCAACTGGCCACTTGTGGGAAAATGAAATTCAGAAACCTTGTGTGTGAACGGCTCAGGGAAGCACACACCACAAGGCTGCGAGTGTTGTGATAAGAGAATGGGTTGCAGAGGCACATTCCTGAGTCAGATCCTGGCTTCCAAAGTCACTAGCTGTGTCACCACGAGCAAGTCATCAGCCCGTTTCTTCCTCTGAACAAAGAGAGAAGAAACACCCCAGAGTTGTGAGGACTGTCCCTAATACTGACAAGGTGCTCACAAGAGTGACTGACACACAGGACTCAAGACACTGTAGCTGTTATGATAACTACTTCATTGCCAGGCTATGTAGGGAGTAACCTGGGAGCCCCAGAAGCCGACCCTCCCAGTCTGGAATGGTTTAGCGAGAGTCTAGGTGAAGGCAACCGAAAAAGGAGGTGACTCTTTTTTTTCCCCCTGAAACGAGCTCTCAGTTATTGACTACTTACAGTACAGTGATTCCGTATCTTAGCTGGTAATCAAAGACGGTTACGTATTAAGTGAGAGAAGGCACAATCTCTCTTCCAGATATCAAGAGGTTACTTTTCTAATTCAGTTTCTGAAAAATGTTTTCAGCTTCTTTACAGGTAACATGGAAACTAAGATCTTACCAAGAGAAAGTAAATACCTATTAATAAGCCCCGTTAAAAAAAGGGCTCTCGCCTGTTTTGAGGATGAGCCCTATTTCTCCCATGCTGCTGGTGACGGGGGCAGAGAGGGACTAGAAGGGCGTGGTGCTGCCGCTGAGGGGAGGGAACCACTGCAGCACAGGAGAACCAGCTCGAGGACCTCGGTGTCGGGGGTCCCTGCTCTAAAATAAAACTACATGCTACTGTTTCTCTGAACTCAAACAGAAAAGGCTGAGATTTCTTCCTCCTGTCATCCACTCTCCCAAACAACCCAGCTTCCTCCTCCTTTGGAACACCTGTGACACAGCCTCAGGGTTCCCTGTTAGACTAAAGTCACCGTGAAGGCAGAGACTGGGTCTGCTTTGCTGACCTCTGGAGCCTGAACACAGGCAGCATTCAGTGAGAATCTATGCTGAGCAAATGAACAAATGAATAAATTTTTAAATGAGTGGAAAGGCTTTAAATTATCATCATGGATTAGAATGTGTAATTAGTTATCCTCTCTGTCTCAAAAATGCCCCCTCTGAAAAAAAATATAGGATGTTGTAGATCCTTATAGTGCAATCCTCATCTCCTCCTTTACAAGTACATGTTAAGATCTTGCAACTTCTAAACAAAATATTTCTATCTCTGAGGGGTCTCGCATGTGCCTGCCTCACTAAAGGGCTGGAAATCAAAAGACTGATGGTGACCGCTTCCAAGCAACCCACATAGTTATACACAATGCATCTTCCTAATCCGAGAGGCGCGGTTTGGGAGAAGGGAGAGGAATGTAGGTAGCAGTATGGCCAACAGTCAAAAAAGAACCCAAATCTACAGCCGAACCATTTATAATTCATATATTTAGCTTTTAAAAAGAGCCGTCTCTCTCTTGGAGTCCAGAGAGAAGGAAGCCTCGCCTGGAGGGGTTGTTCTTATTTCTGGAATGGTTTTTAAGTAATGTTTAAAAAAATCACAAAACACTGACAAATGTACCCTCAGTTTTTCCCTCCAGGAGGCTTTATGGGAGCACTCACAAGTAGAACTAGTTTGTCTAATTTGGAATTACATGGATAACCAATCTAGTGTCCTCAGAAGTGAATGGACAATACAAATGTAGCATCTTCTATTTTGATAACTCAGAGGGGCTTAAGATAGACCATCGTGCTTTAAGCCACCATTTCACTGACACAGGTCATTCATGGCCTTCAGATAAAAAACCCCCAGCAATGTCCAGGTCAAGGCACCCTTACTTCACCTCCGAGTGGTGTAAACACAAGTCACAGCCTGGTCATGTGGCAGACCAGGAATCCCAGAGCCCAGAGGGACTAGCTCCTCTAGAACAGACGGGCTTAGCTCCCCAGCTAGCTGCGAGCCTTGACTGGCAGCGACTCCAGGGGGGGTGGTCCAGCTCAGGGCAAATGTGCAATTCCTACTCAGGAATCCTTTCTCGAAGAATAAAAAAAGGAAAAACATATTTCTCCTACCATTTTAAGAACACAAATTTTAATTCCGTCTGCTTTTTTCTCAAAGGTGATCACCAACCACCGATTCATTTGGTTTGCTTGAAGATACTCTGCTACTTAAGTGTCTATTCTGTGCCTTTTAGCATGTAATGGTTACACTAGGTAGCTACCAGCCTGCTTCGACGTTGGAAAAGAATAAGGAAACATAATCAGTGTCAATATGAGAAATTAAGTGCATTCAGTTTATGAGAAACACAATTTCCTTTCCTGACATATATGGGAACTCTGTGAAATTTGTAAGTCCGAACAAATCTATATAGTGCTGTCTTTAAAAAGAAGGCAATTTTCCCAAGTATAATTTTCAATGAGCAGAGCAGTGCAGGGTCTGAGCGAGAGGAGAAAGCATGCAGGGCTGAGCACGGAGCCCGTGACTGGCGTGGGGTCTCAGGGTCTTACCTGTCACTGTACACAGACCTCTCAAAGATCTGTACCGCCTTGTTGGCCTCTAAGAGTTTCTCAGGTAAGGGCTCCAACTGTACTTTCAGGCGGCTCATAAAAGAAAATGTCTGGAATGTGTAGGACCATCGTGCCGGCTTCTGGTACATCATATCCAGCAAGTTTCCGAGATTTGGAGTTGTGCCGGCCTAGAGGCAAATTACAAGATGGAGAATTTCCTAGAAGGCATGAACCACCTCCAATCCCCACCCCCACAGGTGTGATAACCAGTGAGAGAAGCTATTATAAAAGTTTCCGTCCACTAAAAAGATACAATCACACCCCTTAGCTTAGTCAAAAATACATCATCAAGGAAGAGATCTTCCTACCTTATTAGACAAGACTCTGACAGAGGGAAATGGCACACCACCGTCAATATACCAGAGAGACCAGAGGGAGAACCACACAAAGGTTAGCACAGTCACTGACTGAAGGGCTTGCAGAGCAGGTCGGAGGAGGGGCTGACAACCAACAGCCTTCTAAACCTCTCCTTGGAGCAGAGCACTCTGTTGCTTCTCTTCTGAGCTTCCATTTGTGGCTATTTCTTTTTAAAACTTCAACCCAGACAAGAGAGTAACATTATTTGAAAATCAAACCAACCAAATAGAGTGCTCTCTCTCTTACAGCAAGGCTATAATTTGTTAAGCAAACAAACAAATGAACAGACAAAAACAAACAAATCTCTCCTCCTGGATTCTGGAGACTTTACGAAAGGCATCTGAAAACCCACTTACTCAGCAGCTGCAGGTGGGAACATGTGTAAGATACTCAGGAACCCTGGGTTCTTCCCCTGGGCTCTGCCACTGACTCAGTGCAAAAGTGAGTTCTGAGCAAAGCATTTTGGATCTGCATTCATTCAGTCACCATTAACTGAAGGCCTGTGTGGAGGAGACACTACATGAGCTAGGTGCTATAAGGGGTACAGAAAACAAAAAATAAGATTTATCTCAATGTTCACTGTGCTCTGTTATCTCATTTAATCTGCAAAAACAGCTTCATGAGGTAGGTACTATGGTTACGCACATTTTCTTGAGAATATCCTCTCAGAAAGGCTAAGTAACTTACTTGTCCAAGGTTTCGTGGTGAGTAAGTGTCCAGTGGACACTCAAACCTGGCTTCCTCTAACTTCTTTATTCTAATACTTCTCCATATTAAGGTGAGCGAGACATGGCTCCCAAACGCAAGGAGCTCATAATGCAAAAGGAGAGGGGTGACAAAGATACAGACAGCTAGACTATAAAGCAGAACACAGCACGAAGGGGCGATCATGTATGGTGGAGGGAATCTGAGAAAGTTTCTGGGAAAAAGTGGCATTAAGCTGGGAAGTGACATGGAATTTCCACAGATGGAAATAGGAGGAAGAAGAAATCTTAGGTAGAGACAAAAATACAGGAGTGGGGAAAAGGGTCAGACAACCAATGGTCCAGTTTGGCTAAATATCAGGCCTGCCTGGATTCCAAAGAAGGGTCCGAGCCCTTTGGAAGGCTTCAGCAGGCAGAGCAGAGAGGTTCACAAAACAGTCTCCCTCCTTCCATCCCCTAACACACACACACACACACACACACACACACACACACACCAGCCTCACAAATGGCCCCTGGCTAAGAGCTGGAGGTAGAAGCAGGGGACAAATTTGAAGCTACTCGAGTCTCTGATGGTGTCACTAGGGAGCCCCTGGTGTGTAGTGTGTGTAGTCCTGACACAGCGCGGAAGCCCCCTATGTGGGCAGAGGTACTCGGTTGACTGGGCGGGGGCTTCTATCAGCAGGCTGCGGGCTAGCCGAGGATAAAATATCGCACAGAGGCCTACAAAACAGCTGAAAGAACCCATCTCAGCGACAGAACGTATGCAAACAACCCTTCAAACATTTAAACAGACAGAGGGCTAATCACTGGATGTGAAAATACCCAGCCACTCAAAAGGAGAGGACCAATCCACGTGCTCAGGACAAGCAGCCTCTCAGGACACAGCTGATATGGGAAACAGGAGAAAACAGAAAAAATCTCAATGAGATTCACAAGACTAACACATTGGTAAAACAGGCTATTAAAAAAAAAAAGAGCAATAGGAAAAGAACATTCTTAGATGGGAAAAACGCAGCTGCCAAAACAAAACACCCAATGAAGATGGTAACCATCAGACTAAACTTCAGTCAACCTAAGCCAGTGACTGTCACATAGATACCAACTCAAGAAAATTTCCCTAAACTAAGAGGAAAAAAAGCAGAAAATTATGAAAGAAATGAAAAGACACACAGTTTAGGAGACCCAATACACACTGTTGCATAGTGGTAGGGTATTTTTTGTTTTTTCCTTTCTTTCCTCTGGAAAGACACAGCAAGCCATAATGTCACTTGTGTCCTACCTTACAGCAGGTAATACAATTCTGTATCAAACAACTTTTCAAACAAGGGCTAAAATGATACCTCAGATAAAGCTACCCACTCAGAGGAAATAATTTTCCTTCTCATGCAGTTAGAGTCCAATACAGGGACATGTCACCCCCAATAAAAAAGAGATGAGCAGAGGAAGACCACTACTCGTAAGGTATGTGATGCCCTCTCATCAAATTTCACCATCAGTGAGAATCACTGTCTAACAGAAACATGGCTTACCTCCAAGTATTTTAGAACGACAATGAAGTTTAAAACCACGGGATGACTAGGAGTTACAGTCGTGGGAACTGATCAGATAAAAAAGCAGCCAAAATCAAAGAAGAAAAATTAAAGAAAATCTCTGAGGTGTGAGACTTTCCATCTAAGAAATTCACTGAGTCACTGAGAAAAGATTTAATATAGATTTACGCATATAGTTCTTTCTCTCTCTCTCTCTCTCTCTCTCTCTCTCTCTCTCACACACACAGGTACCCACGACCAGACCTATCCTGGCAAAATGTGAACAATTCATATAAGCAAAACAACACAAAAACCTAAGGTGGAGGAAAAGCATGAATTATCTACATTTTTTTTTAAAGATCAGAACCATATAATACTTCCCTACAAAAGAAACTGAAGACATATAGACAAGCAATCACTCAGAAATGATACCACTCACTTTCCAAAAAGTTTCTCTAAAATATATTTCAACCAATTGAAAAATGAATCAAAATAAAGAATCAAGAAATGGGAAGAAGTTGTAACAAGAAAACAGTGGTCAGTGAATGACCAGCAGAACAGAGTTAAGTATAAAGTAACTACTATTAATGTGATTAGGAAGTTTACTGCCAATTTCTACTGTTAAAAGAGAAATTTCACAATATAGAAACACCCTGGATCTATAAAATTACAGATTCCTATAATCTGGGGGATGGAATCGGGAGAAAAGGATTATAAGAAAGTAGTAAAAGTTAATTTTTTTCTTTCACAGAGACTTCACTGACATTGATAGATAGGTTCAAACGTGTGTGTGTGTGTGTGTGTATATATATTTTAATTACAGTAGAATTGATTTACAATCTTTTATTAGTTATATCAGGTGTACAGCATAGTGATTGAGAATTTTTTGAAGATCATACTCCATTACAGGTTATTACAAGATGATGGCTATAATGCCCTCTGCCACACAGTATATCCTTGTTGCTTATCTGTTTTACACATAATAGTTTGTATCTGTTAATCTCATACCTCTAATTTGTCCCTCCTCTGGTAACCATAAGTTTGTTTCTAGATTTGGGGGTCTTAAACATGTATATTTTTAACTTAAATGTTTCCACTGGTGGAATAAAAATAGTAAAGTTTCCATATGAATGAAGGAAAAAAGGAGATGAAAGCACAAAATAAAGTGGCAGGAATAAATTAAACATCGTCATGATAAACGGGAAAAAAATCTCAGGAAAGGCAAACCCTGGGACTGGGTGAAAGCTAAAAACCCTGTTCGTAAGAGAAATACCTAAAACAAGATGACACAGATGAACTGCAAACAAAGGGACAGCAAGCTCCACCAAGCAGATGCAAACAAAAAAGCAGATGTGGCAAAGCCGTATTGAGAGAAAAAGCAGTAAATGCTACCAGAGGGGTTTTTAACACTAATAAACCAATAAAAACTTCACAAAGAAGTCATGAACCTTTTCACATGAATAAAGCACTAAAATACAAAAATATAGAGCAAAGCCAATTAAAAATACAGGGAGAAACGAACAGAACACAGTAAAAGCTCAAAACTTAAATACACTTCTCTAAGATTTAATAAATAAAAGTAGACCCCAAAATGAGCACTTGGAGGATAAGACTCTTAGTCATTATTTTTCTCACATATCTGAAATTGGGATACATCTTACAATGCTTATTAAACTTAACAGACACTTTAATTATTCCTTAGAAGTGTTTACTAAAATGATTATGTGTCTTACACAAAATGGCATTTTAGAATTTGTAAAATATGTCACTTTAAACTCCATACCTTACAGATAATACATATTCTTCTTAAAAGTCCATGGCACACTTACCAAAATGATCATACATAAACCATGAAGAAATGCTCAGTAAGTTTCCCCAATTAAAACCTCTATAAAGGCAGGGAGGGTATAGAGCTCAGTGGTAGAGTATGCGCTTAGCACGCCATAAAAAAAAATTAAATTAAAATAAATACATAAATAAATCTAATTACCTCCCTCCAAAACAAACAAAAAGTTTTAAAACCTATATAAGCCACATTGACCATAACAAAATAAAATTAGAATTAACAAAGTAATAAACACCCAAAATCTACTCAGAATATGTAAAACATTCAGAGTAATTCTTGAGCAAAAAATAAATCAAAACTATAATTATAAACTCTAGAAATTTCAGTTAAAATCTCATATGTTAAAATCCAGAAGACAGAGCCAAAGCTTATCCCATGAAGAAAATTTCCAGTTGCAAATGCTTTTATTACTAAGGCAGAAAAAGGGGGAAATACACAAATCAATCATTCACACTAAAGAGCTTTAAAAATGCAAATAAATCCTGGGAAGTAAATAAATAAATTTAAAGATAAAAATGAACAAATTAGAATGTAAGCCCCCATAGAATTAAAAAATAAAACCCATTAATTGGGTCTTTTAAAACAGGACAAACAGACAATCATCTGTCCTATCTATCCTTCCCCAAATAGTCACACAAATAAGCAACGTAAGACAAAAGACAGTAATTCTGGACACAAAAGAATTAAAAGTATAAAAGAATACATGTACTGATTTTACACAATTAAATTTGAAAATCTCAATAAAAGGCTAATTTCCTAAGAAAACAAAATGATCAAAATTGACTCAAGAATGTGGGGGAAAAAAACACTAAATGATAACTGAGGAAGAAACAGTTGTCCAGTAACTATGAATCCATATAACTTTAAAACCGATTTCTATCATACCCTCAAGGAATAGATGATTCTTATGCTAAAAATCATGTAAAACTTCTCAATTTGTTTTCACAACCATGATGGTAAAATCTGTCAAAAACTGGACACACAAATATTAATACCGTTAAATTTATAAATATACATGCAAAATCCCAACTGAATGGAACAGTACACCATGAATGAAAGGGTTCATTCTAGGAATGTGAAGATGGCACCATTATCAAATCTATGACTAATACTAAGAGATATAAAAAGAAAAGAAAAATCCCATGGTTACCTCACTAGATGCTAAAAAAGGCCTCTGATGAAAATCCAACATCTGATGCTGATAAAAACAGTTAATATCCTGGTAATAAAAGGGTACCTCCTCCATATGGTTTACTGAAATGAATGACAATCACAGAACTCAACAGTGAGACATCAGAGGTAGCTTCACTAACGACAGAAGAGATAAGGGTGACTAACACCACTGCTATCATTTAACACTGTTCTGGAACTTCTGTCCAATGAAAGGAAACAGAAATGAGGTTTGGATACTGGAAAACTCTTGCAAATGATTAGTATTTAGAGAAAACGATTATTTTCTAAAACCTCAAGCAATTAAGCTAAAAAACTAATATGAAAACTAAGGCACACAAGACAAATACAACAATCAACTGCCTTTCTTTAAAATAGCAATAACCTGTTTGAAAAAGGTGATGGGAAAACAGATCCTAGTCACAGTAACAAAATACAAAATCACTCAGGAATAAACTAAACAAGCCCACTGCTGGGACACAGAGATAACTAGTAGGGGAAATGAGACTCCTGTAACTTTAAGGTCATATAAAGAGTAAAAGCTTAAAAGCAAGAGAAAGAAAAGCAGGTGCATGTTTTTATAATCTTGGGCTGTGAGAGGTCTTTTTAAACTTTAACATCAAAGGTAGGAACTATAAAGGACAAGACAGATCTGATCATATAAAAACTTCCAAGTATCATACTACAAAATATATCATATGTAAATATAAAGGAAAAATGACAAACTGGGGAAAGTATTGACAGAGTTAAGATACATAATATACAATGAGTTCTTATGAAGTCATTATAAAAACCTGAAAATCTCAATGGAAAAAAAAAGCAAGAGGTTTGAACAGGCAGTTCAATAAAGCATGCTAATAAATGGCTGATAAAAAAGTTCATTTCACTGGCAACCAAAGAAATGTGAAATAAAGTAACACACCATTTTCTTGCCTCTCAAGTTAGAAAAGATGAGGGGAATGGGTACAGTTCAGCGGTAGAGCACATGCTTAGCATGTACAAGGTCCTGGGGATTGAACCATTTAAAAAAAATAGTAATAATAATTCCTTAAAAAAGAAAAGATGAAAAAAAAACTCCCAATGTTGCTGAAAGTATGAGAAAACTAGTACAACTTTTCCAAAGGAAAATTTTGTTAAATATAACAGAAGTCAACAAAACATGTAATTTTTGGATATCAAAATTCTAGTTCTAGATTATGGTTCTATATTACCCTCAAGATTTAGCTATTAAAAAGAAAAAAAGATACAGCTACAAGGATATTCATTGTTGTAACAACGTTTATAATAAGGAGAAATTAGAATACTAAATATTCAAAATAAGACTAGATAATTAAATGATAGTAAACCATATTATGCAGTATATGGCAACCATCAAAATGATGTTACTATGAAAGAAAGATGTTGTATATCAAGTGACATGTAGGTGACAATCAGGACTTTTGTTTTAAAAAAGGAAATGTATGTATGTTTGATACATTTATGTAAGTGTATGTAAATATATATATATTTTCTCCTCTGTAGAAAGAAACCTAAAAGGACAAAAATGTTAGCTGTACTACCTCTGGATAATAAGATTACGGGAGCATCAGTTATCTATTTGTGCCAAAATTTAGTGGCTGAAACAAAAAACATTCATTATCTCAAGTTTCTGTGGTAAAGTTATTTGGGACACAGCTTAGTGCTGGTTCTGCCTCAGGGTTTTCGATGAGATTTCGGTCAGGATGTTGGCTGAGGCTACAGTCATCTGAAGACTTGACAGGGGACTAAAGGATCTGCTTCCAAGAAGACTCACTCACATGGCAGCTGGCAGGAGGACTCAGTTCCTTGCCGTGTGGGCCTCTTCATAGACAGGTAATCTGTATGACCCGGCAGCTGGCATCACCAGAGCCAAAAGTAAAAGTGATCAAGCAAGAACAAGATGGAAGATACAATGCCCTTTATGACCTACCATAGAAAGTCACACACTTTTAACCCTGCTACTGTGCATTCATTCGAAGCAAGTTACTAAGTCCAGCCCACACTCAAGGGGAGAATTAAGGGCCACCTCTTGGAGAAAAGAGTATAAATCCCCACAACAGGTGACCTGTGCGTACTCAGAAAAAGATAATTTATTTTCTAAATAGAAAAGTTAATTTCACAAATACACACACACATACATATACACAGAGACAATTTAAAAAATAAACATCCTCAATAAGTATCACGTGCCTGCCAAAAAAGGTAACACAATCCTGAGTTGGAATAACAGAAAACGGCACCCGGAACAAGTTCTATGATGCTCTGTACTATTTAGACCACATTCGGAATGTCCTGTCCAGCTCTGAGTACTACTCTGACTAAAAGCTAGGTGCGAAACTGACAAACTGGAGTGCATCACCTAGACAGAGTAACTTGAGAATGAGGACTAGTCTGGAGGAAAATGGTATTTGGTTTCAAAAAGAGAAGACTTGATGGGGGAGAAAAAGCAAGCCTTAGAAATACATGAAGGGCTGCCATGTGGAAAAGTAAAAAGACTTAAGAGGCACAACTTGAACCAATGAGTCAGAGTCACAGGTATGCAAAGTGGCTCGTACAGGAAACTTTCTAACAATAGGTTGTTAAAAACAAGAACGAGGCACTCAGTGAGTGCTCAGTGACTGCGGGACAGTCTGTGGAGACTGAGGCATGGTGCTGCCACTCCCCCAGCTCCCTCTAAGGTTCATGTCCAGCTGGTCCTTCCCTGCTCACAGTGATGTGGCTGGTGTTGAAACCAACTCTATAGCCTCTCCCAAAGCAACTGACCTGACACTCGGGCCTAAGCCACGAGGCATAAGTGAAATGCACAGTGCTTGGGACAGGTTATTGCCTGGCACGTAGTAAACACTTCATAAATTTAGCAATTATTTCTGCATTGCCTCCAAATGTGACAAGATGCTCGCTAAGGTCCCTTCCAGTTTCTAAGACTTCACAAATATGTTAAAGTCACTATAGTTAACTATTACTCCTGATGGTCAATTTCAGTAATAAACTTAAGGGTAGGAATGGCAAAATTAATCTTCAAAGTCAGGTTGGCTGGACATGCTTTGGGAAACCACAAAGAACAGAGGCATTTATGTAGACATGTAAAAACCACAAAAATCAAAACTAAACAGATTTAAACAAGTCATCTTCTCTGGTGTACACGGTCCTTTCTGGAATGAAAGGTTTCTTTTTTTAAAGGTGATTCAGACTGGACTACTTAACCTACTCAGAGCAAATTACATTATTACAATTAGTTTATTCACCCGTGCCTGCCAACTACCCACCACAACTAGAAACTTACTTTTTGGGTTCCAGCAGCCTGGACATTCTGCCATGTCGCTACGGGTTCTGTAGCTACGTGCCACTCTGGGTAGGTTTTCGCGAGTAGCTTCACAAAGGTGGACTTCCCCACAGCTGCAACGCAAACAGCATGTATTGGGATGCTTCCTGAAGCAGGGCCGCAGGAGAAGGCTGCTACCAAACTGCCACAAACGCCCGACTCAAGGGAGTAAGTACCGGTTTTTCCAATTTCAAAACTCAGCAGCCACATCACTGCCAGACTGATGACAGATCAGGCCATGCTAACCAGAGTTACCTTAATGCAGCCCATGGGGAGGTGGGGAATACCTCTAAGATTTGATTTGTAATTTTAATGTCCCAACCTTCCAGAGGCAGAATCTTTAACAACAATAGAATAGACTTTCCAGGAGGGTGGTATAGCTCAAGTAGTAGAGCACATGCTTAGCATGCATGAGGTCCTGGGTTCAATCCCCAGTACCTCCTCTAAAAATAAATAATTACCTACACCCCTGCCAAAATAAAATAATTAAATAATACAATAATAAATAAATAAAATATTAAAAAACGAATAGACTCTCAGAAATAGATGAAATCAGCTACATATGTTGTCAAGCTTAAAACAGCCCTATTTATTCTGTGACAGGGTAAAAACTGCAAGTCTTTCAAGATAGAAAAAATGAAGATAAAACCCTCATTTATTCAACAAATCTAACCAATATTCAGGGAGCTATTATATGCACTCAGGACTGTCCAGCCCTGGGGATACAATGGTGAACCAAACACAGGATGGATTTTGCCCTCACAGAGCTCGTATGGGAGATAGACAGTAAACATTCATACGAGTAACTAAGGAATTGTGTTAAGTGTTAGAAAAGAAAGAAAAGTGCAGAACTGCTCTACTGTAACTCAGAAGATTAAGGATGCTTCCTCTGAAAAATGTCATCTGAGGTGAGACCTGAAAGATCAGGATTGCCAGGCCAAGGGGTAGAGGGGGAAGGCAGAGGGAGAAGTGTGAACAAAGGTCAGGAAAAGAGAAAAATGTTGTGCACGACAAGGCAGAAAAGTCTGTGGCATTAAAGCACCCACTGCTGCAACAGGGTGGTCAAGTGAGAGAGAATGAGCATGGAGTGGCAGGAAGGCAGGCTGGGGCCAGCTCACACAGGGCCTCACAGCCGCAGTAAGAAGTTTAAATTCCATTCGAAGGGCAATGGGAATTCGGTGATGATGGGTTTCAAGCAGGGAAATGACAACCTTCCATCTCGTTTGTAAAAGACCACCCCACCAGCGATGTGGGAATGGACTGATAAGGAAGCAGGCAGACCAGTTAGAAGATAACAGGAGTTTGAACCAAGGTGATAGCAGAGCAGGAAGAAAGCAGTGGTTGCTGTGAGAAATGCTTTAGAGATGAAATTAACCTAGTACCACGATATTCAAGTTATCTTTTCCCATTTACACCAATGTCTAGCCCATACCTTAAGTTCCAGACTCACCATCCAAGAGCCCTTCAGACACTTCCACTTGCATGTCCCACAAACACCTCAGTCAATATGGTCCCTAAGTGAACTCATTACCTTCTCCAACAGAATGAGCTTCTCCCGCATCCCAACCTCCGGGGTTGGCAGCACCATCCACGCAGTCAGGACTTCTTCCTCCTCTGCCAAACCTCTAGCAGCCACCAAGTGCTTTTGAACCTGCCTTCTCAATTTTCTCCATCTGTCCTTTTCTCTCTATTCCCACCTCCCACCCAAGGCCAGGATCTCATTTGTTGCCTCTCCAGCTCTGGCCTTGCCCTCTTCAATTCATCATTCACACTGCAGACACACCAAAAACTAAATAACACTGCTTAGAATCCTTTGGCAGCTCCCTATGCCTTTACAGGAAAACTCAAACCCTTCAGATGGTCTACAAGACACATCAAAATCTGGCCTCTGCATAAACCTCTCCACCTCAGCTTCCCTTCAGGCATCCAGAGCTCCCACTGGACCAAACTCCTTGAAACTCTAATCATGCCATGCTGTCTGCTGCAAATGTGATTTTGCATATGCTTTCTCATTTCCTGGAACAGCGATTCTTTTCACCTGGCAAACTCCTACTCAATCTTCAAGATTTTGCTCAGATGCACCTCCTGTGGGAAGCCTTTCAGGACCCTGACACCTCTAAGTGGGACCAGCTCCTTTGCGCTTGGCCTGGCATTCTGGGTAAGACTCCATCACCCACAATGCAATTCTGTTTCTCTAGGTAGAAGATGGGGCTCCTCCAGGGCAGGAGCCAAAGCCCAGACTAATGACATGGCTGAATGAATAAAACACAAAATATGTTATTAATTCTGGTTCCCCACGAAACCCACATTGGTTAAAAACCAAAAAGTGAACCTTAACAGTGCATTTGGAGCTCAATCTCCCCTATCAGAGATGATCTTTCTCAAGTGAATTCTCCCCTTAGGAAGAACCCAAATGGAACCAAGAGAAGGAGAGGGGAGGCACCCTTCCAGTCAATTCTATCAGCCACCCATGGTTACTGATCGGGAGTAAAGAGATGTCTCAGCAGAAGAGCCCACACATCCACTATGTGACATTTATCACACACCACCTCAGCTCCTCTCTGAACACACAGGGTCAGAACAAAACAGAAATCTGTGTATTTTGTAGTCACGCTGGTCTCTCAGTCCCACCTCCACCCAACTCATGTGAGTCTTTGCACATCTGCTCAGCCTCTGTTCCTCCCACACTTCAGCGAATAAATCCCTCCCCCCTGCTCTGCTAGGCCTGTGTCTAAATCCTTTCCCCTACCAAGCCTAAGGCCCACCTCTTCCCTGAAATTCAGAACTTCTCTAGCTCACACCAAATTCCTACCATGTTGGGCAGTTGAATCAAACAAGAAATATTCATTAACTCCCTCTGATAGGATTAGCTTTTTGTTTTTATCGTCTCATGGGTCTCACTTTTGGTTTCCTAATAGGATCTCAACCTCTGAGGCTGGGTCCCAGGAATCCACACCTGTAAAGTATGCCCCAAGGAACCCTGATGCGCACTTACATTTGAGATTGCCACCGGAACAATCTGATCACAACCAACACAGGCGGTTTTTTAAAAATATAGGTTCCAAACATCACATCCCAAACTACTAAATAAAACCCTCTGGGCTTGTCATGGAATATCCAACAGAGTTGTAGGAATTAAAAATTGATGGGGTTTGTATATTATCAGATACCTGCCTCCTCAGACTAGACCCTAGTTTAAAATACTTAGCACAGAGAGTCAATATTTAGAATGCAGGTTGCTGATTAAGCCTAAAACAGGGTCTCTGCCTATCAGCTGAAAAACTGTCTCAATTAATATGAAAAGATGAAGGTAACTGATTTGTCAGATGGGTGGGACTGCATGGTTGTTAGAATTACTTAAATTTTTTACGGTTAAAAACAACTACCTAAGAAATGATTGCAGATGAAAAAAGGATAGGCCCTGAGGGTTAGGGAGTGCCAACTTCACCTCTGAGATCAGACACTGTTAGTTCATCTAAGGGCAGTCAGGGCTCTGAGAAACCGACTCATGCCATTTAAACACACAAAACCCGGAATGCCAACAAATCAGATGTGATGGGAAATTACAGTTCCAATGACTGGAACAATCACACCAGGCAACACCCCCACCCTGCACACCACTCCCCATTCCAAAAATGGCTTTCCCCACTCTGGAAAGCCGGTTGAGTAATGAGAAGCCAGCTTCAGCAAAGAAAGACAGTAAATGGGGGCGGAAAGTCCTAGAAGCTTTGCCATCCATGTTGCCGGAGGGCTCGGGGAGCCTGGGTAATTTACCATAGGGCAGCATTTCTTAAGCTGCATTCCAACAGAACTTGGCTGAACCAGGCACCACCCAGATATGGAATAATTATTTTAAAAAATAATTCAAAATTACATATTTATCTTAAAACTAGACACAGCATAACTTTTTTAAAGCTATGACACATGATAATAATAGCTTTTTTCTTCCTTTTAAGGCTTTAATTTTTTTTTTTCTAAGACAAATGTTTTAAAGTACTCCCAGGGGTTTCATAAGAATGGTGTTGTCTGGTTCTCCACTGCTACACGGGCCTCCTCCTAATGACCAGAATGTCTGTGTCCACCAAAAGTCCCTCTTCCTCAGGCAGCACTGGGCAAACTGACAAATGCCTCCCTTTGGTGGTCTCCATGCACAGGACCAGCCTCTTACGATATTGTTATCTCAGACTTACCACAATTTAGGTCCCAGCTTAACTGTTCTCTTTCAATATACATTTTAATATCATGAAATTTGGGAGGTATCAGATCTCGTAAGTAGCATCAAACCTTCCCCTAAGGGAAAAAGGATGCAAGGTACTTAAAGCAAGTTCACACCAATGTGTTGATTTTTATTAGCACCAAGATTGTCATTCCACAAGATGGACCAGAGTTCTGTTGCTAATGTTCATCTTTTCCTAAATCATGCTTTTTTTCCCTCCCACAATTTCTCTGTAAACTACGATGTCTGGTATAGCTACATGATACTAAAATCTAGTAGTAAGATAGTATTTGATATAACACTCAAAATAATATATTGTTTTTAATTTAATGTAACTGTAATTCACGGGAGCCTCTTAAGTATACCATCATCTCCAGGCATTTTCTCCGCCTGAACAAGATGAAAAACCTGGGAAAAAATCCAATCTAAAACTTTTTACCAAAAAGCCAACTAAAGTAGTAAATATAAAACTGCCTATCTTCAAACCAAAAACTTCTTCCAAAGAAAATTCAGAGTCTTTATTTCGGGAACTATATTTGCATTCATTCAACCAACAGCTGTTTACGGAGTAGTCACTAATGGTGGGTACTATAACTAAAATGATGGAGTAGGCTGAGATGCTGCCTTCAGGAAACCTGTACTGAGATTAAGCATCCAGGATCAGGTAGGCTCTGAGCCTAAAAGCACTCTGGGGGAAAAAAAAAAGCACTCAGCGGAGTTAAAGAAACTTGATACATTTTAGCCTTGATTACTCTTCTTTTCTCTTCTTTTTTCTTTTCTTGGGAAACTGTTAACACAAAGAAGTTCCTCACAGCTTCCAGACTACCAAACTCCTGCGTTCAGCATGAGGCTCTAATCGATTTGGAATGCCCTCCCCACCTCTGCCCACCAGTTGATTCATCCTTTCACTGTCGCCTCCTCAGTGAAGTCTCCTTGAACTCTCTCCAGCTCCACCTTATCCCTGGGCAAAGTTAATTACTGCCTGCTCTGCTTTACCAAGGCATCACACTGTAATTATTTGTTGACTCATCACTCTCCCCAGCTAGGCTGGGAGCTCAGGGACTAACTGTTTCCTTGCATCCTGAGTATCTAGCCAGGTGCTAAGACTGGAGATGGATGGATGGAGTGAGGTGAATCACAGAAACAGAGAATCCAATATACAGTGTTTGGAATAAATAGGTCTCTTTCCCCCACTAGGATTCTTGTCCAATTGTTTATACTTAATGAAAGTAAAAGATACACATTAGTGATGTTAAATCACTAATTTTGAATGCTGGAGGAAATGTTATTAGGGAACTCCTCCACTGCTTTATGTACAAGTCTCTAGATGGCAAAAGTGAAGTTTCCTCTTCTCTGTCAGACCTTGGAAAATCAAAGTGAAAAAACCAAAAAACAGTCGGAGATGCCTCACTAAGAATAATTCAGATTTGTAATCATAAAATAACTTACTTTGGAAGGTGAAAATACACTTCAGTGATGAATACACTTAAAAGATAGGCTAGGTATTTATTTTTTAGATTGTAAGCGATTCTAGGTTGCAAGCATTTGATTTTCAATCACACACGGCATCTGGCTTAGTAACTCACGCCAGGTGCCATTAGTTGCTACCTCACTGACCCATCTTCCTGTCTGCTGCTGTCTGCACGTGCAGGATCAGATGAACAAGATTTACAGCAGCAGGACTACAAGAAAAGGTCCTCTACACATATCTAACTTCAGCTGGGACAGGGGTTCACCTTCCCCTGTTCAGATTTTCTGAGTGGACAACTCTCTGATTTGGGTGTGTGTGTGGAGGGGTGCCACCTGTGGTTAAGAGAACACGATTACTATTTAAGAAGTTTAATGTATTTCCTCTGTGGACAGCAATGACTAACTTCCACAAGGATATCACAGCACAGAACTCAAGCATCTGGTAAACACTGAATGAGTGCAACGGGCCAGGCGTGGGTTAGGTGCTGGTGATACAGAGATGAGCAAGACACTAAGTGGCTAACCCAGGGAATATGCAAACAATCTCAACAGGACGCAAGTGCTGCAGCCGTTCTGGGCACAGAACGTTACGCGAGCACACAGAGGAGGCAGTGATCAGTTCTGTCTGGGGAGAGTCATCAGGCTGTGTGGGTGATAGAGAAAAACATAACAGGAGATAAAACTAGAAAGAGCCAGATTAAGGTCCCCCAGTCCACTTCTCATTAGTCACACTCTCCTTGGGCAACTGTGTTCACTTCCAAGGCTTCCACAACTACCCCCACAAGTCAACAACTTCCATATCTCAGATCCTAGCTCCAATCTCTCTACTGACTTAGGTTCTTCTTCCGGTCTGCCTCAGAACAGCAATCTCTGTCCGTCTCAGAGCCACCTCCTACAAAATGTATCACTCTTACCTCCCCAGATGTCCTCTTCCTTTATTTCCATCCTCGGTTCTCAGACTCAGTGTCCAAATTAAACCTCCTTATCCCCTGCCTCCAAGGTGGCCACCAAGCCCCGTTAATCCCACTTCCAAAATCTCTCTCAAACCATCATGTCTTCTCTGTCCCACCATTCTCTGTTCAGGCCTGCACCTTCCCTCCCTTCAGCTATACAACAGCCACAAAACTAGTCTATCTACTCCAAACTCTATTCCTTTTCATTCATTCAACAAACTGGATGCAAGGCAGTATGAGTCCTGCAGCAAACAAAACACACAAAGTGCCTGCTTCATGGAGCTTTCTGTCTATTCGTTCATTCTAGCCAATTTCCTCTTTAAGATTAATCTGGACCACGGCATATACTGGCTTCAAGTCTTCAGCAGCCTCCCACAGCCCAAACGAGAAACCCCTAGCTGTTCAACATCTGGCAAATCCTCCCCTTCCAACTTCTGGTTCTACCGTCCTCTCTCAGGCCCTTTAAACTCCAGGCACAAGATCGATATTAAAACTGCATGTTTCAAACAAAACAAAAAACCCCTGCATGTTTCTCCAGGCTCTGCACTGGCAAGTGTTACTTCCTGTGCCTGGAACACTCTTTCCTTGCGGGTAGGAATTCCTACCCCAGAGATTCTGAGTGTCCATGTCCAAACCTAGCACTCATCACATGCTACAGAAATTATGTTTAGAAGTCTGCTCCTCCCACTTCACTGTGCGGATACGAGGTGGCCCACATCTGAGTCCACCTGCACAGTAGGCACTCAGTGAGCCTTGGATGTGTGAGAAAGCAAGGAAGAAGCACAGGAATCTGGGAAGGTTAAGAAGAAAAGGTCAGGAAAACTGTGAGAGGCAGCTCACACTTCACCTGATGGCCTGACAAAGTACTCACTTGGTGAAGTGCTTTGTTCCTCTCTGGGCTCTGAGGACAGAGCTTCCTTTGCTGTTCCCAAAGTACAGGACAGAACACCTTGAAATAACACCCTCAGGCAGGTAGCAGGACCTTCCCGTCTCATTCCTTTCCATGTTTCTGATTTGGCTTTGGTGACTGGGCTCAGTTTAAATTCAAGACCACTGAGTATAAATGGGTCCTTACTGCCACCCAGCAATTCTGCATTTCTCCCGCTCACTCTCTAGACTCTTTCATGTCTTTCCTCTCTCCTCACACTCACCCTTAGCTGATTTTTCTTCCAGTTTCACTGAGAAAACGGACACAACCAGACGATCTTCCCCAAGGTCCCGCTACACCTACTTGAGTCAGTAATCACTGATGCTGGCGCTCCCCCGTTCCTAGGGAAACTGTGCTCCTAGCTAAAGCCAGCCTCTCTCTGCTTGGGCAACAGGTTCCACTCCTCCTTGCTTACTGAAATCACTCTGGCAAGTCTTTCCTCTTTCCTGTTTTACTAGTTTTTTCCTTCTCTATCAGCTTACATGATCTAATTCCTCTTACGAAAAAGAAAAAAAAGAATGAAAACAACCTTCTCAAACCCTCTTCTCATTTCAGCTACCACCCTGTGTCTCCCCTTTCTAGAAAAACTTCCGAACAGTTGTCTTCACCCACCGTCTCCAGTTCCTCACCTCCCATTCTCCTTGAACCTCTGCCAATCAGACTTTCACCCCTCCCGCTCCTATAATTGTTCAAGTTCACCATAGAGCTCCATTACTTAAATGGCATTATAGTCCCTGCCCCTGGACACCATTGTCATGTGGCTTCCAGAACATCATTCTCTTTTGGTTTCTCTGCTATCTCAGTGGTCATTCCTTCTCAGTCTCTTTTGCTGGTTCCTTCCCCTCTCCTCCATCTCTCTAATCTTTGTGTGCCCAGGATGGAATCCTTTCCATCCACACACGTAGGCTCCTGGCTTTAAATACCATCTACATTTATTAACTCCAGTCCAGGGAGAGTCTGAACTCTGGACTTATATACCCAGCTGACTATTCAACAACCCTGCTTAGATCTCTAAAATGCGTGTAAAAACCTAACGTGCCTAAAACCCCAAACGTGAAACGACCCTCTGGCCTCCGGCTGTTCTTCCCACTCTTCCTCATCTAAGAAAACTGGAACTCCATCTCTCAAGTTGCTCAGGCCAAAATGATTGGAGTCATCACTGAGCCCTCTTTATCTTCTATGCCACTTTCTTCTTCTTTTTTTTTTTTTTACTTTAAACAAAGAAACATTCTTATTCAAAAAGTTCTGATTAGTATCGGCATTTGGCATTCAGGACTTCCCTGAATCCTCCCAACAACTGCCGGAGGGCATTACTATGGTTAAAGTCACATTACAGGTAGAATAGATACTTAATTTGGCTAATGTTCCACAGCTACAAAGTGAAGGGGCTAAAATCAAGTTCACACCTGGCTTCCAACATCTTCTCATTCTGCTGTAGACCAGGCGGGCTCTTCTTTCTCTGGTTTTGTTCCTATTGATCAATGGTGTTTACTTGGTTAAGGGCTGCAGGATAAATAGGCAACATTCGAGGGATCCTGGAGGGTCATGTATTGATTTGGTCTTTACTGGACTCTCCAAAGGATGTTTCCCCAGTGCGCCTCCTCTCGGATAATCCGACCCACTCAAAAATCTGCTGGTCTTGGAGGGTCTCCTGGGGAGTTGAGGGGGGGGTGGTGGTGGCTGCAGCTCACTCTGTGGACACAAAAGCTTGTGGGGGCATAAGAAGCACTCATCCCCATGAACTCTCCTCAAGATTGACATCACGCCTGGATCATCAGCACCAAGATTCCACATCTTTCTGTGACCAAATTCAGTGTGCCTACTTTAAATATAACTAGAATCTAATCACTTCTCACCACCTCCATTACAACTCGTCATCACAACAACTTCCTGACACCTTCTATTTTCAACATATCAGCCAGAGTGATCTTTTTATAATCTAAGTCAAATCACGTCACTTGACTGCTCAAACCTTCCAACAGTTTCCCATCTCAGAGGAAAACTCCATGATGGACTACAAGGCCTACACAATCCAGCCACTCCTCACCTTCTGACCTCATCTTCCCCCGATTCCCCCGTGCACACTCCACTCCAGCCACAATGGCTTTCTTACTGTTCCCTGAACACACTTCCCACCTCAGGGCCTTCTCACTTGGCCTTCCCTCCACCTGGAAGATTCTTCTCCCAGTCATCCACATGGTTCACTCCCTCACCTTCTTCAGGTTTTTGCTCAAATATCACCTTCTCAGTGAGGCCTGTCTTGATTACTCTATTTAAAAACTGCAACTTCCCTCAACCCCTCATCCCTGAATTTTCTCCATCACATTCCTTACTATCTCATCTACTGTTCACTTTGCTTAATTCATGTTGTCTCTTGTCTATCTCGCTCTACTAAGAATTCCCTGACAGCAAAGATTTTTATTTGCTCTGTTCACTGCAGTATCTCTAGCACCTGAATATGGAAGTCACTCAAAGGGCTATTTGTTCAATGTGCCAGAAAAGAAATTGTTTGTTGCTAGAATGTTTTCCACACTTAACACTTGCTAATCCCTTTTTTGGGCTCAGCACCTTGGCAGGTAAAAGCCAAGTCAGACTGTAGTAACATTAAATTGAAATGTTTTGTTTTCATTTTTTTTTGATTATTTTTAAGATACTGCGTCTCTATTCTTAGAACAGTTATTCTTAATATAATACACGTTTTAAAGCTTAATAAGTGAGCACCTTCTAAGAAAAACGCTAGAAATTATAGTGGGACTAGCAAAGAGACATAGCAAAAACAGTGAAAGTGGTATCTGAACGACTGAAGGTTAGGAACTATCTTAGGGTAGGGCTGCCTATTCTAAGATAAAATAAGGACATCCAGTTAAATTTGAATCTTAGGGTTTTTTTAGTGTATGTTCCAAATATTGCATGGGACACACTTACACTAAAATATTATTCGCTATCTGAAATCTTATTTTAAATGCGCATTTTTTTTCTCCCCTAAATCTGGCAGTCTTATCTTAGGAGAACAAAGAAATCGCACCCTGTTCCTTATCGCTTCCATTTTGACCTATCCAAACTAGCTAGCTCTTGTCCTATCTACGTACTGCGTGGCATTTAGGCCCCAGTAAACGTGTCCCTGTGGGAGCGTACTGAGGCCTGACGTCTGTAAAATCAAAGAAGCAAAAGCCCACATTGCACCTTGTGAGGGGAAAGGCCTGCCAGCTCAGAACAAGCAATCCGGCCGCATCAGGCCGAGAGGGAGGGGGTTCGGGGCCCACCTCCCTCTCCCAGCCTCTCAGACACTTGTTCTGCTGGAGGCCGAAGCTTGGCAGCTACTTTGCGGCCCTTACCAATGTTGCCTTCGATGGAGAGCCTTCGGGGCCCGCGCCCCGCGCGTAGACCCCTGGAGGGGGGCATGCCCCCGAGTGGGCTCTGAGCCACGGACTTGCAGGGTGCTCGCAGCAGCCTTAGATAGAGCCGGCCCACGGCCATCCCGCCCACGAGTCACGCAGCGATCACTTCCGCCGAGAGCACTTCCGCCCCCGGTACCTCCGACGCGCTTCTGACGTCAGGCGATCGCCAGGCAGGAAGTGGGTGGGGTTGAGCTAGCTGGAAGGGGGAGGGGGCCAAAGGGACCGCTCTGTTCTCGCGATGTTTGTAGGAGAGTGTTGCGGAGAGAAAGCCGAGTGTGAGGTGCGGGAGGAGTTTGTTGACAATTGGAGTGGCCGCCGCGCGAATCTCGCCTTCGTTTCCGTTCACTGCCCAAACAACATTTAAACAGAGACATAAGCTAGTATTTCCATCACCTTTGCACTTTTGTATCATTTTAAAATAAATTTCATAACTAAAGACAAATAAAAATAATTGTAATTTTAAAAGAGTACCTCCCCTCCCCGCCCCAAGTGTTTGTTGTCTGGTTTTTAATTCTAATATGGGGAGAAATTGGACGGTTTGAAGGAGGAAAATGACTCAACCTGATGATTTACACAAACTGACTTTTCCCCAGGCCCTGTAACTTGCGGCACAATGCTGGAACCTTATTGAATAAATTAATAAATTACTTCATCAATTACACCCCACCTCTCATTTTGCCTTTTGAATGAATAAATGTTCGCTCAAGCGATTTGAATAGTAGCCAAAAATTTTATAAGGATAAAGAGGGTGGAGTCTCAGGGACAAGCGTGGAAGTCATTTAAGCCATCTAAGATTGGATTCTGTGGAAGTGAACAATAGTAGGGGTGAGGTCTGGGGTGGGGCGGCTGGTGGGGATTAGGTATGGGATTTGTAAAAGCTGGAGAAGAGCCAGGGTAGAGAGAAGCTTGGTGGTGTATATAAATGGAGTGCAGCTGTCCGTGGAGAATTGTGTCCTGCAGAGGGATGGGGACAATTCTGAGCTGCTTCCACCAGGTGAGGCCATGACTGGCTTTGTCCTGCTACACCCCATGGTCATAACGACTTCAGAATTAAGAATTTATGAAATGTTGTCAGAGGGTGCTTCCTTTTTCCCTGCTTGACTTCCACAAGAGTCAAACCAGGAGTCAACAGGCAAACCGGCATTCTGGCAGCACTCTTAGATGGGGGAGATTTGAGGAAACCAATCTGATTGCAAGAAGGGTTGGGGCGGGGTCAGTGGCTGGGACAACTGCTTGTAAAGCAGGCACAGGACCTTTTACTTATATTGTTGATTGTATGGGATGGCTGAAATGACATTCATATATTATATTAAGCACAATCTATTAAAGAGTAGATTGTTAGTTTATTTAGGATAACCTAATGGAGTGCTAATAAATATTGGAACAGCTAAAGTCTGTCCCATTGCCCACTCCCATAGTCACCTCTGTGTAAAAATACTACTTACATTTCTCTGTCTGTACAAACTTGGACTTGGGAAAATATTCATCCAAAAAGTTTGAGACGCTCTCTGTGTCCCTACTGTCTTGCTGCCTTCATTACCATCAGGGTCGCTGTGACGGTTAAATAAGGAAGTTGTGGGCAGGTTTAGATGAAGAAAGGCAACTAACCTGCTCCTAAAAATCAGAGCTCCTAAGTCACCTAAGGGTGGAAAGTATAGCTCAGTGGTAGAGCACATGCTTAGCATAGGGGAGATCCTGGGTTCAATCCCCAGTACTTCCTACAAAAATAAACCTAATTACTTCCCCCCTGCCAAGATTAAATAATAAATAAATGAAATATTTTTTTAAAGTCATTTAAAAGCCTTTATAGTGAAGTATGATATGTAGTGGAGAAAGTAACATGTATTATAAATGTACAATTTAGTGAAATTTTCACAAACCGAGCACACCGTTACCCGGATTCAGATCAAGAAATAGTGCGCGTTACCAGCATCCCCAGAATCCATTTCCCCTGCCAGTTACTACCCCCCAGAGGTAACTGATAGCCTGACTTCTAACAGCAGACTTCAGTTTTGCCTGTTCTTTACATAAATGAAATCGTATAGTGAGCACTTCTTTCATTTAACATAATATCTGTGAGATTGATACATGTTATATATGCAGTCATAGTTCATTCATTCTCGTTGCTGTATGGAATTCCATTATGTCACTATACCACACTATATTTTATCCATTCTACTCTTGATGGACATTTGGGAGGTTCTAGATTTGGGCTACTATAGATACCATTACTACGAATATTCCTGAATATGTCTTTTGGTAAAGTTAAGTATGCATCTCTCTTGGGCGCATGCCCACAAGTGGAATTGTTGTATGATGGGCTATATGTATGCCCGGCTTTAGTAGATATCCCCAAGGAGTATTCAGTTCCACAGTGTTTGATTGTATCAATCGACAGTGCCACCATCAGTGAGTGAGTGCTCTGCTTGTTCCACTTTCTTACCAACAGTTGGTATGACCAGCTTTTTAAAATTTTATTCATTCTGCTGGATAATGGTGTCTTGTAGTTATAATCTGCATTTTTCCAATTTTTAATGAAGTGGAACCTTTTTTTCACATGTTTATTGGCCATTTCAAGGACCCCTGTTGTGGAGGACCTGTTCAAGTCCTGTACCCATTTTTCTATTGGCTCTGTCTTTTACTTATCATTTTTTGTATTTTCTGCACATGAGTCCTTTGTGAGTATTTTCTCTCACTCTGTTCCTTGCTTATAAAAGCTTTTACATTTTTTTGGAAGTAGAGTGTTAAAAAAAGTAAAATATCTTTTGCCTGTTAATTATCCCAATACTAGGGGTGATCCTTCTATTCCTCCTTATTTCTTTAGGCTTCTTTTATTATGTTCTACCATGCATAAAAATTCACTATCTTTCTTGGTCATAATTCCAAATTTCCAGGAGAGAGACTCTGGTCCAGCCTTGGCCAAAACATAAAGTCTCTAGGGACAAACATGAATGTTGGAGCCCCACCCCCAATTTGCACGAGGAAGGAGGGTGATTAAATGGATTGTTGGGAGCAAGGGAGAGAAAAAGGTGGTGATCAGTTCCTCCTGGAAGTGGTAAGCGGGACGTTTTCATCCCATCTCAGGTTCTGGCCAGAAGACAGAAAGTAGTGGCACGTTGATGAGCAGAATTACATCCCATTTATCTGGAGGAATAAGCCACTTCCTGCTCCTGGGGGATTATCAGAAATCAGCTGGAGTTTATGAATAAGAGTTGATGTTGCCCCACGGGGACTCTGGTCATTCAGCACCCGTTCCTTCATCCAGTATTTGCTGAGCATCTGCTGTGTACCAGACACTCTGCTTAGTCCTTGGAGGGAGCTCGGAATGAATGACTACTTTCAAATGTGTGTAAATGCTGTTGTGACAAATAAAATACTGATCCATATCACCAAAATGCTATGCAGCCACTAGAAGTGGGGAGATAAACATACACAAATGTGACCCGGACTTTCTTCTGCTGCTTGTTGTCTGGTCAGTTAGATCCTCATTTCCATCAAAGATATTCAAAGGTACTGGATCGTGCTAAATCAATTCGGTTAAGCAAGGAAGTACGCTTCC